GGACACTCACGTCTCAAGTTTGTGTTTATTTGCACAGCCCCTGGCTCTAGAAAAAGATACCAGTGAGATCATCCCCCTATTCATGCTCCCTGCATGCCATGGGGGGAGAAATGCATCTTTGCAAGATGGTCCACTGCTTCTCCACCCTGTTAGTAAAAAAAAAAAAGCTGAACAGTAACAGAAGTGTAACAAAACCCTCCTTTCTTGACTGTGGAAGAAACAGTCTTTTCCTAAATCAGCCCAGTGAATATTCAGAGATATACACCCCCACATTTCTTTTTACTTTAAGAGTATATCTTTCCTCAAGTTGACCACTTTGAAAAGGCTTTTGTGAGCAACCACTGTTCTACAAGAAGTGGCATATTTTCAGAAGTCCAAGACATATTTAAAGCAGTCCAAATGATGAGGACAAGGCCAGCAGGTTAGTGACTGAAAATAGAATCATAGAATGGTTTGGGTTGGAAGGGACATTCAAGATCATCGGGTTCCAACCCCGCTGCCATGGGCAGGGACACCTCCCACTAGACCAGGTTGCTCAAAATCCTATTCAACCTGGCCTTGAACACCTCCAGGGATGGGGCATCCACAGCTTCTCTGGGCAGCCTGTTCCAGTGCCTCACCACCCTCATAGTAAAATATTTCTTCCTAATAGCTAATCTAAATGGACCCTCTTTCAGCTTAAAACCATTACCACTCATTCTGTCACTACACTCCCTGACGAAGAGTCCCTCCCCATCTTTCTTGTAGGCCCCCTTAAAGTACTGGAAGGCTGCTCTAAGGTCTACCTGGAGCCTTCTCTTCTCCAGGCTGAACAACCCCAACTCCCTCACCCTGTCCTCATACGGGAGGTGCTCCAGCCCTTTCACCATCTTCATGGCCCTCCTATGGACTCACTCCTGCAGGTCCCTGTTTTTCCTGTCCTGAGGACTCCAGAGCTGGATGCAGTACTCCAGGTGGGGTCTCACAAGAGCAGAGCAGAGGGGTAGAATCACCTCCCTCAGCCTGTTGGTCACACTTGTTCTGATGCAGCCCAGGACACAGCTGGCTTTCTGGGCTGCAAGTGCACATTGACGGGTCATGTTCAGCTTCTCATCAACCAACACCACCAAATCCATCTCAGGGCTGCTCTCAAACCATTCTCTTCCCAACCTGTATTTGCGCTTGGGATTGCCTTGACCCACATGGCAAAAAACTCTTTAACAAAAAGTTTCAGTTAGAGAGAGGTTAAAAAAATAGATCAAACCACACCATTGTACTAAAAGGGTATGCTAGCATTCTGATACAAAATCTCGTATTCTCATGATTTTCCATTGCCACTGGCAACGTTTTGCTGAGAAATGATGAATGTCATCACTTAATGAGCGTGTCTCCTACTGATGCAGCTAACATAATCTTGTGATCTTTGCTGTAGATAAATTCCAAATGTGTGATGACATGCATAGAAGTCAAAACACTATTGGCCTTAGTGTTTTCATACATTATGACAAAAATCAGAGTTACTATGGACTAAGAGGTTATTCTATTTACAGAGCATAAGAACAGAGTTTTAGCAAAATGGAGCATTCCACATCCAGCCAAAGCTATTCACAACTGTCTCCTAATGGGAAACCAAATGCTCTCTATTTCGTACCCCTCCAAAATAGGTCTTGGAGGAGAAAAAAAACCAAAACCAAAAAAAAAAAAAAGAAAAAAACCCACACAAACAAACAAACAACAACACACCATTTTTTTCACCTACAACCTTCTTCTTGTATCTAGAGGTGGACAAACAAAAACTCTTTTCTAGTCTGTCGTATTATGACAATGTAAACCAGCCTCAACCAGAGCTGGGAGCCCTTAGTGCCAAGCAGCATACAAACATAACCAAGCAAGCGCCAAGGTCAGACCAGAGAAAGCCTTGGAGAAACTAAGGTTTATCTCCACCTCACAAACTGGAACCAATGCATACACACAAAGGCCCCACAGTCCACAACTCGCAAGGCAGGTGGACAGCAGACAGCTCTGCCTCAGCTGCCCATCTCACCATATTCCAAATTCCTTCACTTGCTGCTTGCAATGGATGTGCTGAACGGCAGGCTTGGTAGACCAAGCTAATCAAGCTAATGGGGTAGCAATGAAAGCTTTCCCCAATGCATAACAGATTTCAGAAGCTGCTTCCTGAAGGTCTGATCCAACCCACAACAGTAACCCCAAAAAGAGATGCAGAACTGACAGCTCTCCCCAAATAATTTCCTAAGTGTGAGCCTCTCATCCATGATGGAAGCTGGATAGAAACCCTGTGCCAAACAGCTGCCCTTCTCCTTTAGAAAGAGTTAGCAATTTAAGTGACATACACATTTACTCCATTTATTTTCTTAATTGTGTAACCTCCATTTGTTATGTGACACAAACCTTGAGAAAAGCAGACTGAAAGACTGATGTGTTCACAGTATTTTACATCACTACCTTTGCATTCTGCAGAAACGAGTCCTCGTACCTTCCACGTGAAAACAGTGAGATTTAAAACTTAAAAGCATTGCATTTCTCCACATTAACAATTCACTAGCTGATCCTTTGTCATTTTCTTCCTACAGAAGCCAAGTTAATAACAAAATAAGCTGTTTTCTTTAACAGTAAGAAGACTTATCCTTGTAAAAGAAATGCTCCTACCATAGCACTCACCTGCTAAGGCAACCGGATCTACAGCATCAAAGTAGCTTAAAGCAAAAGCCTCCGAGATTAAATTTTTAATTATATATTTTATATATATTCTTAAATTGTGCATATATATATTTGTATGTATATATATACATATACATATAAAAATAAAAGTAGGAACACCAAGCCAAAACATTTCAATCACTTGGAAGGATTAAATATTCGAAAACACTTGAACTAGAACTGTTTACACTAAAAATTAATAGGCCCTTTTGAAAAATCCACTTCCAGTAATATCACTTGTTCAGACAGTCACATAAACATCAAAGCTTGCATCTTCAGCATCTAAACATTCAAAACAACTTTCAAAAGATCTATTCAAACAAACCATTTTCACCCTACTCCTTTCTTCTATGAATTTCTGATCTGGTAACAATTTCACAAAGTAACTGGTATTTAACGTTCCAAAGACACAGTACCTATTTGCACAGTTTAAAACAATAATTTAATAATCTACAATCTCTATTCCTAAAATTAAAGACAACACATAACCAGTATTCCAGCATAAAGATGTGAAAGATACGTACTTTCAGGCAGCTCACCCAGAGCAGCTGCCACAATAAGAATTAAAAACAGCTAACACACATCTTTGCAGTATTTCAGCTATTTCTGGTGTTGACTTTTGTAAAATACAAAACAGTTAAGATAAGTAACTCTCTGCATACTGTAAGGAAGCTGTATCTTAAGAAAATATAAAAATGAAGAAAATATTTGAATGTTACCAGCAACATGTGTTTGGCAATGAAATTTAAGCAATTCATTGGTAGAAGCTTAACCTTAAATATCTGGTAAACCAAATGTTCTAACAGAGTAGGACATATTAGGTCCTGTAATTTCCATCCTTCCTGAATGCATGTTTTGACTACCAACTCAACCATCAGAAAACAAAAAATACAAGTGCAACGCCAGTCTAGCACAGCATTATTATCCCACTTTGTCACAAAAAACTCACCTTCAATAACATTCACAGACTTTAAAACACATCCTTGGTGCTAAGGTAAGCCGAGAACCTTACTGTTTAGCTTTCTTTTAAGGTGATTCTTACTAACCAAAAGTAGCATTTTATCAACAGCACTGTGCAACACATAAGAGGTGTGATGAAGTTGGGAGTACTGTGGGTCCAAAGGCACCACTACCTGTAGGTTATCTGGGTCAGTTATGGATTCAGTTACTACCAAAATTCTAGCAGGGGCAAAGCTAAGGCAAACGCCCAAGCTCCACTCTTCCTGCACGCAGGGTGACAAGGAAAGGACTTCTGCACATACTTATGTTTTGAGAGTTAAGTCCCAGTTCCTGAGAGGCTTGAGAAGTTGTAGCAATTTCCCAGTACAAAACAGCAACACAGCCCTATGCTTCTGCAGCTCTACCCAGGGGCAATAGAAGGGTCTGGGACTGGGCCAAGTAGAGAATTAAAAGTGATAAAAACAATAAGAGTTTTCCCCTCCTATGCCTGCCACCTCAAAGCCAAAAAAGTGAAGATAGTTCTTCCCATATTCTGAAAAAATTAACAAATATAAAAAACCCCACCATCTACTTTTTCAACGTGTTTACTTAAGAGAAGGTAGTTACACAGTAACTTTTATTACTAAATCAGCTTTGAAGAAGAGTAATTGACATATTTCTAGATTTGAAGTTTCCTCCCAAACTTTACATCAAAACTCAAATATTGTCTCATCTTTAAAATGTTTGTCACCAAAAAAATTTGTGAAACACTGTGTTGAATAAGGTGTGCCAACCCACAATTCGCAGGAAAAGAAGCATTTAAAATTTTTCTCCATAAATATCTCCTCACATCACAGGAAATAGCATCAATGGAATGCTAAATGTGTTACAGTATTTCAAGTTTGTTACAGTTAGTTAAGAAAAATAAGCTAACATGTAAAACACAGTAATATACTAAAAAGATGACATCTAAAAAAGAGCACAATTTAAGAAAATGCTCTTGGAAATCTCTGCGAGAACACCTGCTATTTCTTGACACCTTTCCCCCCATACCCCTTAAAAAACAGCATTTGAAGTCATAGAGTAGGTAACAGTTTAATCAGTCATCTACAGAAGGTAATAGTGCACCAACAGAGAAAAGGACTGAACCATATGGGTGCTGTATCTAGCTTTTATCAACTGATTAATCCTCTCCAGAAAATATAGCAGTTTTCTCCTTGATTAAAAATAAAATTCAACTCTTTAAAGTGACAAAAATAATACATTACAGTGTAAAAACAGATTAATACAAATGAATGATTCCAGAACTAAAACAAATTTCATTGCAAGTCCCAAAAGCTGTAATCACAATTAATTATTCTAAATTAATAAGGCGGATTTAACATCAGGTACACTAATTTACAGCATTATAAATATTCTTCACCCTGTACAGTTCTTTAAAATCAATACCTAGTGAGAATATAATATTGCACCAAAAGCTGAAATTAACAGGTTCAACTCAAAGTGTTGAAACCCTTCCAAAGTCGTGCCGTACTGGAGTTCTGTATTCATCATGGTCCATATATCTTGAATACATTAAGAGTTCAGTGAGGCCACTTGATTGCAGGCTTCAAAGAAAAGACTGTATGAGGTAGAATTAACTTCTTCACATTCTCTGACACTCTACGGACCACTGAGCTGTGCAAACGGCTCTGTCACAGGGAAGGGCTCCAAAGCTTCCTCTGAGTTTTTCCAGTTGTGAAAGTTTTCTTTGTACCATTCAACTAGTATGAAAAGAATGTTGATGAGTCAAGTGACCAGAAATAACAAGGAAATTAAAATATTCCACAGATATCATAAGACTAACTACATGCTAATAGTTCATTATGAAAAATTTGAACCTATAATATTAACAAATTTAGTTTAGATTTTATCAACTCTTTATGCAAGACTTATTCTAGCCTTTAAAAGTAACTAATTCTAGTAACTGATGCTACTTCATTGTGATTAATTTATTTCTTCTTAAATCAGGTAAATTCACTATTTAAAAAGCAGTCGATTTTATGTAAAATTAACGTTAAATTCATTCTCTTGAGCTTCTCATTAACTAACCTATATATCCATTTCCCCCCCCTTCCCTTCTTCCCATCACTTCTAAATCAGTTAGTGTAAAAGGCTCAGTCCTACTTGTTTTCTTTATTCCTTCTTTCCAAGGCACTTTAGGACTCCATCCTAAGTTATGCATTTTTTCTGAATTCATTGGGTATCTTAGGTCATTGGTAGGTCTGATGAAGTATAAAAGGTACACAGAAAACAATTTGATTAGAATTTTTCATTAATTAGAGGTGCAGTACCTCACATTGTCTTCAAACTAACATTAGGTATGTTTCCATTTTGAAAACGCCCATCAACATGAAGATTATATTGCTTTCAAAAAAAAAAACCACAGCAGTTGAAAGTTTTGCTTTCAAAAAAACACAGCTACACAATACAGTTCAGTTTGTACAGTCAAAGACTTGGAATTGACCACAATAAATATGAATCAATATCTTACTGGCACAAAAATGAATGCAAAACTCAAATCACCACTAATGCAATGCAAGCCAGTGTTTTCCAACATCAGCATTCACATTTTTCATCCTGCAAGCCCACAAGTTTTTACACACTTCAGATCTGAAACACATAGACTTCCAAAGCATTGTCATTACAGTGCTTCATTAGCTGCACAAACTTAGTAATACCGAATACATAGAATCCCAGGCTGCAAGTTTCAATACAGAAAAGAGATTAACTACATTTAAACATGGCAGAAATTTCCAATTCCATAATCTAACAGTTAGGTAGTCTAGTCTAGCATTTCTGCATTACTGGTACTAGCATACTGAATAGTTAAGCTACATGTGCAGAGAGAAACCAGGTACTTATCACTGTTATTAAAACATGCTAGTCCAAGCAGAAGCAGGACTAATTTTTCCACGGCAAATAACCCCCATGACCTTTAAGTCACTCACTGTAGAATTAAATAATCACTAGTTAGGTATCTTAAGAATCTTTTATTCAGCCTCACTATTCTTTGAAATATGTATTCCTAGGCAGTTAGTTTTCCCAAGCCCGCTTGTGTTTAAGCATTAGTAGACAGGACCCAATACACATGAAGAAACATCTCAATCTGAATTATACCAAGACCTACTGAACACTCACATCATGTGAGCCAAAGGCAATTTGTTCAAAGTCCTGTGATACGCTCAGATAGGATTCTGAAGAACGCTTCCTTTCAAAAACAAAAATTAGTACATTTGAAGACACTTCAATTGCCATGATAACAATCCAAATGTGATCAGAAAGTGAGAATTCTAAAGGCCACAATAACACTTAACTGCTACCAGCAAATATGTCATTTCTAATCACTCTGGAGAAAGAGAATGATACCTAAAGTAAGCAGAGACTCATTATTACTGCAGAAAATAAATGGAGAGAAGAGAACAGAGCCAAACCAAGCCTGAAATTAAGGATGCAAACACACAGCAAAAGCATATTTTAAAATGCTATCCATTTTTGGCATCGCCCTTACTTTGGCACCTCAGAGTTTTGTATCTACTTTTGAGATGGCCATTTCAGGCTACGATAGGAATCTAAAATTAACTACAGTCCACAGGTGCATATTTCCGCCTGCAGAGAGTGGGTCTTACCTATAAAGCACATCTAAGTCTGAACTAGTCATACTAATGTCAAAATACTAAAGCTAAATGTGAGATGATGGGATTTATCTCACTCAAGTGATGCTGAACACAAAGTACTGAATAAACTGTCCAAACTACCCTTAAGAAAACATAGCTGCTGTGTAAAGCCTGTCCTTTCCACAGAGCAGACTTCAGTAGTGAAGTTTGAAGGAAGTTTGGAAACAGACAGACTAGTATTACACATTCCCCTTTAAGACATAGTCTGACCTAATGATCCAAATAAATGGAATTCCTGTGGATTTGGAAATTAAGATCACACTTTCATGCAGTGTTCTGTACAAATCATAGATGTCAAATCCACTAGCCAAAAAAAAAAAAAAAAAACCAAGCAAAACAGCTCTTACTCCTTCAAAAAATTTTCCCTCCTGCAGAGCAGAAACACTTTCACAAAAAACTATTTGGCAAGAGACCCAGAAACCCTCAGGATAAAGCTATCCTGCAAGTGCTTCACCATTTTCTTACCTGTCTTTGACATAATCCATCCAGTACTCCATTTCCGATTCTGAACTGGTCTTCTTTATCTATCAAAAACAGAAAAATCACCCTCACACATCTTGCACTGTCTTAATATACATTTAAAAATTGATTGTTTTTAGCAAGATTGAAGTTTGTTTAAAAAAAAAAAAAACACAAAACAAACCACAAACAGAAAGAGTCTTTTGTCTAAACTGAGTTTTCAAGCTACTGAAATTATAAAAAATATCTAGAACAATGCCAAAGTTTCTCCAAGCACTACCTAACCATTCATAATCAAATTGTTATATTTTAATAACGCCACATTCTCAGATCAAAACTGAAGCAGACAGCATGAAAAAAACCTACTGAATGGCATTTAATAATTACGCCAATTATGTCGAGTCAGGATATCTGACACAGTGCAACACACACTAGCCTGTACTGCAAACTTACACAGTACAGCTGCCACAGCAAGGGTAGCACATCGTTCTGCTATGACTATCCTGTAAGACCCACCGCAAGCCTCAGCTCTCTCAGAGCTACAAAAGGTTTACAGTAGAATTGTTTATACGTGCAATGACTGGTAAAGAAAAGCATTATAACTGTCTACTCACTAAATGGATTAACTCCTTAGCAAGCTGGGAAATGGACATCTCAAAGTTAGTTCCAATGTTATAAATTTCACCTGGCTTCCCCTCCTTCAGGACAGTAAGGAATGCTTCTACCACATCAGCTGCATAAAGGAAATTCCTTCTTTGAAGTCCAGAACCATGAATACAGCTTAAAACCAGGAAAAGGCAAGAAATGTTCATTAATACTTAACTAGAAGCATTCAATTTATTAGACTGTGTTTTAAGCAGTTGTGCTGTTAGTACCTGAAGGTACTTTAAGTAGCTGACTTACAGGTTTACAGCACAAATACCACAAACAAAAAAGCAAATTACATACCATTTTCTGTTTTGTTGCAACAAAGATATAAACTTTGGAATAACCTAAGGAATTGAACAAAGAAAACATTACTCCACTATTTTAGAAGCTGTTATTCTGCAAAAACCATAGGGCTTCACCAGTAAATATCATAAACAATTTTAGTAAAACCCTTTAAATACTTCTAAATTTTCTTAAATCTAATCAAAGAATGCATCAAGCCTAGAAACTGCTAGGATTTTATTGTTTTGTTTTGGTTTGGTTTTTTTTAAGAGTAGATGCCTCTATTGTGCTGTAAAGCCTCTCCTTCTGGTCAACCATTACAAACCAGTGGTTACAAACGTAATATTTTCATAAAACAAAATGGTACCATTACTTTTTGCACACAGAAGTGCACTAGAGTTGAACTAGGGATGACTACTGCAAACAGTTTAGAACACAGTTTAAACATCCAGCAAGTTGCAGCACATCTATAGTCAAAAAAGTCATTAAAATAAGTAATTAAAATAGTTAAATTTGAAAGAGAACCAATAGAGAATTTCAAGATAAGTAAACACAGATCAAGTCACTAGCTTGAAGCATAAAGATTTACAATATTATGTTCAGCTACAAGTTTAGATCCATTCATAATGTCCCAGAAACTTCAGAACAGATGGCCCTGCTACTAAAGTTTTTAAACTAAAGCCATTACAAAGCTATTCCAATTATTTTAACTTTAATTTAACTTACTCCCCTAAACATAGGAGCAGACATACCAGGTAAAACTAAAGATCCATCTAGCCTAGTACTGTGGATACCTGAGGAAGAATATATATAAGCTGAAAGCAAGTAAATAGTGATACATCCCCCAAATACGCTCCCAACATCATGCAGCCTGTAGCCAGACATTTCCCAAGCCACAGATCAGTGAAAAAAATATTTCAAAAACCACTGCTTATCCACCTGTAATAACAGAGGGAAAAATAAATTTGATAAAAAACTCCAATGCATTAAAGCGATTCAAATTAAAAACATATCTCACTAGAACTGCAAAATATAGCGACATTTCACACAAGCTCCAGACTCCAAAGAGTACATGTGATTATCACTATCATTCCATCAGTGTATTTCCACTTACTAGCATAGCAGATCTTGGTATTGCCTAGAAAGGCAACTCTCTCAACTAGCAACTATTTAAAATAGTTACCCCACAGGGCATGTATGGACACACACAAAGAACAAGTCTCTTTGCACTACTTCTCACCATATATCCCATTGCTATAGCTTCATCTTATTTATTTTCTATACAGGTTGGAACATTTCTGTCTATACCAGACATACTGCTCTCTCACAATTTACTTTTTGAAATGTTTACCTTAGTTATTAAACATTCCTAATAAGAGCACATGACATGTGAGCTAATGTAAATTGTTGGGGAACCCTGTCAGACATAGGGCAATTAAATATCCTTCAAAAAACAGAAAAGTTACAAAAAGTCACAGAATCATAGAATGGTTTGGGTTGGAAGGGACATTCAAGATCATCAAGTTCCAACCCCTCCCGCCATGGGCAGGGACACCTTCCACTACACAACGCTGCTCAAAGCCTCATCCAACCTGGCCTTGAACACCTCCACGGACAGGGCATCAACAACTTCCCTGGGCAACCTGTTCCAGTGCCTCACCACCCTCATATTAAAATATTTCTTCCTAATAGCTAATCTAAATGGACCCTCTTTCAGCTTAAAACCATTACCACTCATCTTATCACTACACTCCCTGATTAAGAGTCCCTCCCCATTTCTTCTGTATCCCCCTTGAAGTACTGGAAGGCTGCTCTAAGGTCTACCTGGAGCCTTCTCTTCTCCAGGCTGAACAACCCCAACTCTCTCAGCCTGTCCTCATACGGGAGGTGCTCCAGCCCTCTTATTTTTGTGGCCTTCCTGTGGACTCGCTCCAACAAGTACATGTCCTTCCTGTGCTGCGGACTCCAGTGCTGGATGCAGTACTTCAGGTGGGGTTTCACAAAAACTGAGGGGGAGAATCACCTCCTTCAACCTGCTGGTCACAACTCATTTGATGCAGCCCAGGACACGGTTGGCTTTCTGGGCTGCGAGAGCACATTGCTGGGTCACGTTAAGCTTCTCAAAGTATTCTCAAGTCATTGTAGTAAAAGTCATGTAAATAACTAGAAATCTGTGATTGATGCTCTACTGACAACCAAAAAACATGTTAATCTTGTTGATGGCAAGACACGTTAGTGTGAGATCAAAATATATAATCATATGTAAGTGTGGACAAATACACCTGCTTTTTCAAAAGTCTGTCCATTCTTATGGGAAAAAAGAAACATCACTGCAACCCTGAATTATGGCATACTGAAGCTCAAAGTAAAGCATAGGTTTAACTTACTTTTTCTGGATACTGGTGTGGTCCATAAACATTACTGCTCCGTGTGATAACAACTGGGAACTTAAGAGCATTAAACATACATGTGACTACATTAAGAAAATGACAGCAAGATCTGTAGGCTTCTTGCTGATCAATAAGTAATAATCTGGTACACCTACAGTGCTTATTCAAAAAATCTGTATGCCCTTACAAACATTAATGAATTAAGCTATCCATACTTCTGTCAGACAAGGGTCTCCAGCCTTCTCAGTCTGTTAGAAGCACAAGTGACAAATGTTTGTAATCTCTCAGGCTTGCTACGAAACCCACCATAGGACATTACATGCATGTACCTGGTTGACTGAAGACTGGCTTACGACTTCTTACTCCAAGAAAATGTTTCAGTTATTAACATCTTATTCAAGTCAACTTTATGTCAAAAACAACAATGCAGAAGGACATGTTGAGAACAAAAGACTAAAGTACGCAAAATTTTAAACATTTTTGCATAAACAAATCTGAATAATGGGAAGAGGGTTAATTCTTTTTTTTGCCTTCACTATAAGATTAGTCTTGATATAATTTGAATTTTACATATTCTGCTTCTGTACAAACAATTTCCTTCAAGCTTAACACCATCTTTTTAAATTGCTAATGTTCTTTGACGATTTTATCAAAGAACATTTTTTAGACATTACAGTTCAGATTTTCACAAAAATTAAAAACATTTGACCTGTCCCCACCATCTTGCAGTCTCCACCAATTAGTGGTGGACATCCTCCAACACCTCCAAACTACACGACTAGCAACCAGAAAAGAGGTGGCACTGTGTGGAGTAGTACTGATTTTTCTCTTATATACGTAACACAGACATTCAAGTACGGGCTTCAGAGTCTTTGAAGCTTGCGCATCAACTTACTTGGTATCTTTCCCAATAAGACTGAACAAAACACTCTGCAGCTGCTTTAGAGGAGGCATAGGGATTTGTTGGACGTTTTGGTGAGGATTCATCAAATTCCTAAAATTAAAAGAAAAATTTGCGTTACTCAATTTCTTTTGCCCAGCTAAGTCTTAAAGTTACAGAAGCTGCAGTTGTAACGGAAATAAAAATCCCTAAATATCCAAGCACACCAGTCTGAAAAAGTCTTCCACCTACAGCAGAAGACCAATAACAAAAGACAGTCTATTGATCAGACACTGGAGGTGGCCACAATACCAGCAGTAATATTTTTATACTTCTAGCAGAGTATGTCACAGTAGCAGGTCCTTAGATTTTTATCTTGTAAAATAACCACTGTCGCCACAGGGAGGCTCAAGCCTTTCAGACTCATACTGCCTCAAAGTGCCATTGCACCACAGCTAGCAAATTGACCTTTTAGTCCTAAATGAAAGGAGCCCATTCTCCCTTTTCTGTAAACTTTATTTCTATAAGAAGAATAGAACTTCAACTCAAAGGCTTCAACAATTCTGACCTTGTCCAGAACACACAGTCTCATGACTACCCCGCCACTTCTATCTACTTCTCACTTGGGGGAAAAAAAAATACAATAATGAACCAAAGAAAGAAGGGATTCTGCACTGTCTGATGTGCAATTCATAACAATCACCTTAACACATGACTAAAAGACTCACTGTTCTTGTCTGATCTTTGTCTCTGAAATTAATTGACATTGATTTATTTTTTGACCTTCCTCCCTCACCAAAAAAAAAAAAAAAACCCACTCTTGAAGAACTTCTACTATGATTCATAAAGAGAACAAAAAACAGATCAAATGGAAGTGCTCTTTTCAAGGTCCAGAGGGAAAAAAGTTCACTTGAAGTTGCTCAGACAAAGCCCTGGTCTACATGCAGGAAAACAACATCCTTGGGTATCATAAAAGTCTGCAGATTGAAGCTGTGTTGAAGGAACTCAAAGATGTTGCAACAATAAGAAAATGCATGGGACTTTTCTGAAATGTATTTTCAGGAATTATGGCACAAGACTCCCTGGCCACTAGTCACGTCTTTAGAAAGACGAGCACGCGTATTTTGTCTTTTTACTGAGCTAAATTACATTTCTTGAATTAAGGTCAGGCATAAATTGGCAAGAATCACAGAGATTTCCATACGATAACAAGAATATCTCCATATTTCTTCCAGTAATATAAGAACTGTTTCCTGTTCCAGTTGTCAGTACCTACAATTCTGTTAGTATTTTAGCTAAAGTATAAAACCAGTTCCCTTCCTGTCAAGTTCACAGTCAAGGCAGGGGAAGGGGTTGGGGGGAGAGAGGGCGGGAAACAACAATATACTGTGTGCATTACTGAAGTCTCATGAATGCTCCAAGGCAAAATTTGTATAATACATTCCTTTTCTACAATCTGAGGAGTACTCATGTGTCTTTAATTACCTCAATCTCACTGCTTTCAGTAATATACATTCAATATAAAAGATGCTACAAAAAAATTCAGGACAACTCTGTCACTTAGCTTTGTTGAGCTTGTTAACAAGTTCCAGTATTGTCAGAACTGTCATACATTTACAGAGGCCAAGAAAAGTTAGACTTATTTTGTTTTCACTATTAAAAGCAAGTAAAGCTAGAAAAACCCTCATACACCTTCAAACTCACCTCATCAGTGCTACCTCCATATACTTCATCTGTACTGACATAGATAAACTTCTCTACATTGGCTTCATGTGCAGCAGCAACCAGTACATTAGTGCCATAAACGTTCACATAGGTGAATTCCAGAGCGTGCCAAAATGAAAGATCTACATACAAAAATCAAGACAATTCTACTTAAATTTAGGCTAGACACGGCTTCCTATTGAACCAGAATATTAGAGACTGCAATATAGACTGGGACTTTATCACTAGTACTTTGATTGTCAGGTAGAAAGTGTCTTCCTTTAATAATGATTTTGCTACACTTATTTGAAGATAAAATCCTTGCTCTCAACAAGAGGCTGGAAAATCAGGAGTGAAAGCTTGTTGGCTATGGACAGTTCCATTTGAAATAGCATTATCTAACTTTATTTAAGTAGCAGCATAACTACTTCCCCTCTCCACTAGGAAGGGCCAAGCTCAGTAAGAAGAGTATCACTCAAAGACAGATGTAAAATACAGTAATATATACTATCACTGTTAATTAACTAGCATCTGTTTTAATCCATAGAATTGTCCCACTGACCTAATGACTCTGGGCTTATCAAATCTGACAATTTTGAGAAGTATTTTCATGGAGAACTCTTCAAGGATTTCTTCTCATGATGAAAGGAGTATGGTGGGGATAGTTCTCACTAACTACTGATAGTTCTTATTACGACTGAAGAGCAGTAATTTGAAATAGGCACTTAAGTGTAATTCATTCTCTCTCTTTTTAGTATCCAGGCAGGATTCTGAAGGGAGCTGTGCCTAATCCTCTAGCTTCCACACTGTGTTTTTTCCTGCAAGGTTGGATGCAATCAAGTAAAAACTTAAGACTATGTACAAACTTTTTTCCACTGTCTTCATGACTCTACCAATAAACTGTCAATTACATGTGTGTCTAGATGGAATTTGAAAATATAATGCAAAAAAAGGGCACTACCATTTATGGACAATTAAAACAGACAACAGTCAGATGAAGCACTTTTTAAGTTAAGGCTGTGAACCCCGTTAACTTACAAAAGCCACCAGACCTTGAATCCTGTAGGCTGTAGAGAAAAACTGTATCCTTGTTTTACATGAAGAGGAACAGCAAAAAATATTAGTAAATATCTCAAACAAGTATACTCATGGAAAATAATACCAAAATATGTAACAATGCTCACCTACATGTGTTCGAGCTGCAAAATGCAGGACTATATCTATTTTTTCAGCTTCAAAGAGCTGTTTTATAAAATCAGGTTCACAAATATCTCCCTAAACAGGAAAAAATGAAATCATTAACAAATTATTTTTGATAGAAAACAGTAAGTTCTCATTTTGTACCAATCGCCACATAACAAACCATTACAAAGGAAGCACAGGATACAAATAGCACTACCAACTGAATTTTAGGCAATGTATCAATGCTATATCTAAAATAACATTAGATACAAATTCCACACATTTTGAGCAACAGCCTCGACAAAACTTATGTCAGGATTTATATTGCTATTTAACATTAGAAACAGCATTGTCCGCAAAATATATGCAACTCAAGTACAGTGTGTCACTTGAATGCTGAAAGTTAAAATGACAAGTTCCAACACCAAAGAAGAGTTACTGGAGTCTGGCTAACAGACAGTGGCACCTAGTGGCATTGTAAAAGATGAAGTGGATTTCTACTTCCCTCAAAATAGATGGCTGGACGACTTGCAAGGATTTGGGGTTTTGTTGTTTGTTCTAGTAATTTTATTTTTTTTTTAATTCATATATTTAGAAGTCAGGCACTGACACACAAGCCATTCTTTAGTTTGACACAGAAGCAACAGCAGCTTTTAAAGGTAAATACAAGCTGAGGAAAAGCTTTTGGCATTTATCTGCTGGCTCAACTTAAACAAGATAGTACTTGAGAAGAAGGGGTGTCTCAGGAAGGAAGACTTTTGTATTTTCAATAACAAGCCAATTAACTAAAAACAGTTCAAATGCATCTATGTTTTAAGAAGTTCTCAAGGAACAACTCTGAACAACAGCCTCGTGGGAGGAATATGAACTGATTTTCCTATTCCTCATCCCTGAACTGAACTGACACACTCCAGTAAATACTTCAGGCTCATACATTGCTTTGAACTAAATGGTTAGAATTACTGATTGTTTTTTAAACTCAATACATCTGTGCTGAGCAACAACAGAAATTGTTATAGAACTGTATCTTTCATACAGCCTCTTACGCAAACATGCATTTCTACACACCACTACAGCGTTTTTCCATCCTGCTCCCTCCTTAGACCAGCAATAGTGTTACAGTTCTAATCATAGGGCTTGTCCAGACTATTTCTTCCAGTGCATTGTTTCCTATCAGTGTAAACTGCTTGGCTGCATACCAGCTGCATACAAGGTCTGATCAACCTTCCTTCCCTACAGTAAAAAACCCACAAAAACAAACCACCAAACTGAAGAGCTGTAATGAATTAAGTTGTAAGTTTTGTGAGAATATATTCCTACTCTAGTTCAAAAGCAGTATAGCTGCATCATTCCTTGTTACTATCCCCCTGATTCACATAGGGATCTGGCTGTTTGCAGGATGCCTTCTAGAACTCAGTGCTACCCTCAGCAACTAAATGTTAATATACATACAGGTAATGTGGCTTTTCTACAGCATTTCATATCACCTGCTGGAAACTATCAAAAACATTAGGTAAAATAACCAAAAATCCAGTTTGGGCATGCTGAAACTGTACATTTGCTTGTAGACATACCCTTTCCCCTCATGCCGCTTTTACCCAACAGCTCAGAGATAATCACTTAATGAAATAAAGAGGTAGGTTCACAAAAATAAAACAGCCATGGGGGTCACTAAACAGGTGAGCACAAGTTCAATTCCCAACCTTACCTGAACCTAAGAGATACGTTTAACTTACATCTACTACCTCTGACAAAGCTGCCATTTCACAAAATTAACCTATATATGTTTCTCTGATGCCCTGCAACCTCAGGCAGCACAGCTAGTCAGACAGACGAGCATGAGTACTGACTTTCATAGAAGGGAAGAACCTCAGCATACAAACCCAGGAGTCAGAATGTTTATCTGAATAATAAATCTAAATCCATTTCCTGTTTGAAGACAAAACTGTGGAAATAGTAAACTAGTTACCAAAATTTTAAAAAGGAAAGGCATACCTTGAATGTTCCCACGAGACCCCGTTCCAAAATGACTATGAACTACAAACCATCAACAGCAGCAAAAGCAAGAACATAGTCTGATGTCTAGTGCTAACAGAGCAAGAAAGAATGTGTTGTACACCACAGAATATGACAAGTTGAAGTGTTTGAAGGGGTAAAATATAAGATATCATCAGAGAAGCACGGAGGAGCCAAATCTGAATCTATCTTGTCCATAACACCTACCAAAAGTGAAACAATCATCCCTAAAACCATTCATCTCCATAATCAGGCTTTTACCAATTCTGTACATTTATTATACAATAAAATATATCAACTTTCAAAAGACTAATCCATGTAAGACAGAACATACAGCATATTGTCACAACCTTCGTGAGTGAAATATGAAGTCTATTAATAAGGCAAACAGAAGAAGTAAATGCTTTCATGTCCATGTGATTGTCACGTACGTTGTCACATAACATACACTGACTCATGACTGACAATGAATTAGCAGAAGTAATTTCAACTTCACCATAAATGAAAGAAGTGGCTTCTAGTTTGGGGAGCTCTGGAGACCACATTACCTTGATACAAAGGCACAAAAATCAGTAAAAAGTCAAGTTTCCTAGAAGGGAAGGCTTTATCACCTGGATAAACTTGTAGTTTTCCTTCTCAGAGACAGTTTCAAGATTCTTCAAGCTTGCACAGTAGTCGAGCTAAAGAGAAATACCCACACATCATTAAGCAGGCTTCATGAAAGTAAATAAGCTAACTCAGATACAACCTAATTAACTAAGAAGTTTGAGAACAAAATAAAAAACTTCTTTCAAAAGAAAAGCTATCTTGCAAGCAGACATGATAAAGCTTTAAAAACACAAGCTCTGAAAGATATCCTAACTGCAAAAATTCTTAAACAGAAGTTTAGAACTTCAAAAGCTTCCTTTGAGGTTTTTTTTTGCAAAGAATTATTTGTGGTGGGTACAGGACTGTAAGCATGAACAGTAGAGGAATTTTTTTTTTTGCATAGGAACAAACCAATAGTCAAACAAAAATGTAATAAATAACAATACTTTATATAAATTTCAACATGCCATAGACTGCCTTAAATATAATCTAAAACAGTTTTCCATAACAAGAAAGAAAACAAACTACTTACCTTATCTAGATTTATAATCAGATAGTTTGGATAGTTTTTCACGAGAGAGACAACTACATGTGAAGCACTGTAGGACAGAAGAAAAACATGTTTTACAACTATATATAGTTAGCTTTAAGGAAAGAAACAGATTATAAACCACAAATAAGTTCAACAGTATCAAAAGGCTTTGGGGGAAGAGGAGGCTGTACCCAGATAGGAAACAGAGGAATTCGCAGATATATTTTAAGATATGTCAACATTTTTCTATTGATAACACCCATAAAACCGCATACCATTAAGAAACTAAAAATCAGATTAGAAGTTCATGCTATAACAAAAAGAAAGCAGCACTGCTCACAGCTACAGAAAAAAATAAACTGCTACTTTCAACTAACACTCTAAAACACATTTATACTCTTAAGTTTATACATTAGGCATTGCAGAGAACTAAAAAGCCAACTCTCCTAACTCACAATACCGACTCTCAACACCCAACCCTCTGACACTGCTGCTAGGTGTCAGAAGAAATTACACCCTGACTGACAGGTGGCATTTCTCTTTGGTACAGTCTTGTGTACAGGAAGCTCATCCTAACAGTTCAGGTTTAGCACGGCTCATTCACATCTCCAGCGCTTCCAAGCTGCAGGTCCACACAGAAATCTAGTTCTATCACAGCTTCAGACTCTGAGCCCACTGACGGGCTCAGGCTTAGGACGGACCTGAACTTTGTCTCGAGCAGAGCCCCCAGCACCGCAGAATGCAGGTGAGGCACAGCCGGCGGCTCGAGGCACAGCCATTCCCCGGCCCGGCTGAGGCTGAGCACCAACTCCCACCGTCAGCACCAGCACGTCCCTTCACCGAGCTCCTTCTCGCCGGCCGCGGGCGGAGGACAGCCAGGCAGCAGCCCAGCCCGCTCCGCAACGCCTCCCACCTCAAACTTCACGACGCGGGAGAGCCACAGGCAACCTCCGAGACCGGCCCTCCACAGACGGCTGAGCCCACCACAGCCTGAGAGAACGCGGCCCGACTCCGCGGCGGCACCGAACCGTCCCGGGACAGGTCCATAGGAG